CAAACTATCTATGCAAGCAGACAAAGAAACAACTCCTTGGCCAAAACACGTCAGAAACCAAACAACCAACCACCCAATCAAGCGACCCACCGACCGGCCAACCAACCACGCGCCAGCAAGCAGGCAAAACAAAATGAAAGCGCGTGCAGGAACACCAAACACTCACACACACACACACCACACACACAAACAAACGAGCAAACAAAAATCAAACAAACGCCAAAACCAACCACCCGGGCAACCAACCAACAAACAACCAAACAAAACCCACACACAGACGCAGATACGCATGATATAAGCACACACACGCACGCACAAGTTCCGGCAGCCAGCAAACTCTGACAGCGAGACGCTTGCTTTTCAGCTTCGGCCAGACCTGGGCTCGCGGTTCACGCCAGTCATGCTTCTTTCATGTCCAGCGCTGGAGGGTCGCGTCATTGCAGTTCTGCCAACCAAAAACGATTTTGCAAGATTCTTTCGTTTGGTAAGCCGAGGACCAGTTTCAATCCTACAACAATCGGGCTGTGACTTTTGCGCCCAAAGCTGCATCAGCAGAATGGGCTCCCAACGCTCTGCCACTGTGCGAGCTGCGCCTGGCAAACTGCAGACACAGGGCCCACGTGTCGCCTCAAAGTAGACAGGCTTGTCTAGGACTCGCAAGTCTTTGAACCACTTGGACTATGCATTTGGCCTGCGACGGCGTGTTCAGCAGCTTCTTCAGCTTGCGCAAAAAGGTTCTCTTCTGCAGCAGCTAGCTGCCTAACCGAGCTTTGCGCGACTGTTGTGGTCTGGCAAACGCTCGCGCACGCTTGGCGTCCTAATCGTAAGTTGCCAGCAGGGCCCCAGCAGCTTCGGCAAGTCTTGTCTGCGAAGACAGGCGCCGCTCCAGAGCAGCAATGTCCCGCGACAATGCTCTGTGCTGACACCGCATCTGGATGGCCGCCTCCTGGCAACGAATTTGAAAGCTTTCAGGAGATTCGGCCTACACTGCACAAACTGGCGCAGTTGCGCAACCAGGTCCTCTTTCAATTCGCGATGCTCGCAGGAGATGCTCTGCACAGCTTCTCCAATTTGCTGCAGCTCAACATGCATCTCCTGCCACAGTTGCAGTATGACCTCCAAAGCGCGAGTAAGCTCAACCCATTACGCTTGCGACTTCTGATTTGTGCAGTCAGTCCGCAAAAAGCTTGGCGAGATTGTTTCTTGGCAAGCTTGTTGGCCCGTTTTCAAAGCCCAAAGCCCCTCAATCGCCTTGGCAACGAAAACACCTGTTAAGCAAGAGATGGCGCGGCGCCTCTGCAGCTGCGCAAGCCTCCCTAGAGGACAATCGCAGCGCATCTGCCTGCACCTTGCGCGGTTCTGCTGAAAAAGCGCCCTGCTGGCAAATGCGACTGCAAAGAAACTCAAACAAAAGTGGCCAAGGCAGCGTTAGCTGAACGTCAGCTGAGTGTGTGGGTCAGAAGTTTCCAAAACCAAAAAGGTCTAAGCGCTCGTTCTTCCTCATCCTGGGTCTTGTCTCTCAGCCAAGCTTCAGCGGCTACGTTTTTCCTGTTTTGGGGCTCCATTGTGTGCTCCTTCCACGTGACTTGTCGCCAAAATGCCTGGTTTTAGACAAGTTTGGGCGCAACGTGACCCTTCGAATAATCACGGCCAGTTCGCGGGCCGGCGGGTACGGAAGCAACACGGCGCGCCCTAATATAGAGACGGCACGTGCAAAGCAGGCGCAGCATCTTTGTCCCCAAAGCTGCGAAGACGCGGCTTGCACTTGAGCTGCGGGTCGCTTGCGCAAAGGACAAAGCTTGACTGGCAGCCTGAACCTCCTGCGTGTCCTTCAGATGACGCCAGCGGGCTTCCCGCTTCCAGGCAATGCCGCCCCAACGCATGAGCTTGCAGCACGTAGAAACAGACATGGCGACGACAGAATGTGTCGCTTCTTGCTCTCGCAGCTTCCCACAGCCTGTTTGACACGCGCATCCCGCTTCACACGCCGCAAAATTCAAAAGCTGCCTGAGTTGTTGCCCAGAACAGCTGGGCAACAGCCAATGAGTCGCACGACTCGCTGCAGGCGCCCATCGTCATTGATGTCATCTGAGGGCTCCGTCGCTGCTGTCTCACAGAGCGACTTCTTCGTGTCGTCGCGAAGTCGATTTGCCAAACCTGTCCGTTTGTCACACGTCCGCGTGACGTTCCCAGAATGCGCCCTCCAGGCCATGCTTGGTAAGGCCAAGCTGCGGGGGGGCTGAACCAGATAGCCAGTCAGCTGCAGATGACGGAAGCCAGTTGTAAGATCCAGATGCACCGAAGCCGGACGGTTTTGCGCAAGTCCGCTCCGCGTGTAAGCCCAGGTTTGAGTGTGAGGACAAGTTGTTGTTGGTTTGTTTGAATTGCGGAGTCGCGTATTGAAATTTACATCTGTCGAAGGTTTTCACAATGATAATGGCTTTGTGGAATGTCCGTCCAGTCATGGTCGCAGACAGTTTTCTCACGAGCGCAAAGCCAC